CTCTACTACTTACTCTTAATCAAAACATACCTCTAGCCCTAAATTTAACCAAAACCTCACTTCAACCCTGACGGTACCACTACTCATTGTCTGGGAATGGATACAAGAAAAATCACTCACACATAATATTCAATTGAAAAAACGCTTATGTGTGAAGTGACGAGGAACGATAACATGTTTTTGGTAAGCCTGTCTTAGGTAACTAGATTCTGCTCATTCATGATGAGCAAGGAGTTAAGGAAACTCTTACCCCACTAAACCATGGATGAGAACAGGAATCGACTGCACTAAAGGTGATTTTGACCCAAACCCCAAGGAAATTTAGGTTAGGTTTAATGTCATGGTTAGGTAATTTTCAGGATTAAGGTTAGAGTTAGTGTTATCTTTGGGGAGTTAGTGTTTACGACAAAGCTGGGTTGAAGTTCAGATTAGACCTACACTTAAGCTGCATGTTAATGCTTGTGTACGGGTTTGGACACGGGAGTACTTATGCTCCCTGAAAATATGCGCAGGGTCAACCATATTATTCGGACTCCTGTTCCGATGCCTAGTTTACGGGGTCATGTGAGTACTCCTGATCAAAACTATGAATTAAAAGAATTACTAATTCAAATAAACCCAACTGTCCGTACATTCTGATGCCCAACCACAGAGTGCAGAAGAGTCTAACAGTGAGAAGCAGTTAAAAAATTTAAAAAGGATTAAAAGGGGAGAGGAGTACAATTGTGCATCAGTCCTTATTAACTGTTATTTTTAATGCCGGGACTGACTTAAAACGACTAATCCCTAAAGTTAGCCGTTATTTGAGACCAGAGAGACGCGGTTTCAAAACTTGAGTGTGGCAGCAATTTCAGCGACAACACTGGAGTTGGGTAGCTCTAGCTGACGACGGCTCATGTGCCAGAAATGGCCATCCTAGAGTCCTTTGTCTTTGTCGGTAATACCTTTATCACTATTCGCCTTGCAACATACGCTGGTCCGTTGGGTAAACCCGGCAAGGCATCAACTAGGATGGGTACGTCCTGAAACAGATCGGTGTACGATTACCACTACTTTATAGAGAATTAATAACCTAGGTTAGACTGCAGTAGGGCTGTTTCCAACTACAGCGGTTACGAATGACACAATGTCTATCACGGTGGTCATACTGAACGCCTCTCCATAATGGTATACTGAAAACATACATAAGCATTGAAAATCAAGAAAAGAAGCAAGTGTTACTCATGGCGCTGTTCTTCGCAGAGCTTGTTTGCACAGGCCGTTTTATGGGTAACCGAATAACAGAAAACAGGTGAGCGTGCTTTAATAACATAAAGATTATGTTCCATACAAATCTATATTAAATCTACATTTAACTAGCCCTTTTTTGGAAAGCTTTTTAGTGAGTTCAATCAGTTATACATTAATTTCGTTGCTTGCTGTAAAGCATCACTCCGACTGATATCCGAACACCATTGGTTAGGGGGTCTAGAATATTATTCTGTGTCGATGGGGAATGAGAATCGCGTTCCAGATTCGGTATCTACAACATCTCTGAACAAGCAGTATAGTCAACGGTTAATTGCTCCTGAAGATGCAAAGTAGTATCGAGACCGTGCTCATCTCGATGCATTGGTAAGTGTCTTATAACTCACCATCCAACCCAATTAGGAATTATTAAATTGAACTAGGAGGGGCGTTTATATGCCTTACACTAGACGATTATTTATCAGCACAGATCCTTAACTGGCATCAGCATATACCGTTTGTTTCGCCTTGAAAATATGACAGCCAAGATCAGTTTGACTTTAGCCTGTCTCTACAAACCTCTGTACCGGTCTTTTATTCTTGATTTATTCTTTTCAAGGGTGGTTGCGGAGTCCCTAAAATCGGGAAAATCTGTCATCCCTGTGACATATCCTTCAGTTTCCATCTACTTTAGTGATATCGTTGGTTTCACTACAATTTCTGCCATGTCAACACCCTTGCAAGTCGTCAATCTGCTGAATGAACTGTACACCATGTTTGATGATACGATTGACGCCTACGACGTCTATAAGGCAAGTAAACACTCAGCAGTAAAAGTACAGTTATGTGCTCAAGATATCCAAATAGACTTTTGGACATAACCGATAGAAAACCATTGCCATTTGATATTCTAACGTTCTGCTTTTCCATTTCGTTCCACTTTGTCCCTTCGATTGGGCTGCCTACGCCTCTAGCCCACTAATGTCCGAGAAACCGTGTCTTACAAGCAGCTCACCTTGAAATCCACTCTGATAAGTGTCTCACTTGCTTTTGAGTAGGCTAAATTGACGCATATGAGATCGAATTAGTAGAAACATAAGTTAAAAGAAGGGTCACCTAAACCACGATGTTCGGAACGATACATCGGCCCCAATTGTTAATTGCACGTTTTTTTTCAGTTGTGGGTAGAAGCTAAACAATCGTACTACAGAACAACAATTCAATCGTCAGCTTGCCAGCGTACAAAGATTACGTTTATTAAGACCTTTTTGCTGGGATTTAGTTTCGTAGTCTATATGAAACTTGAACAGAATATAATTTCTCATATACATTTGCGAACGAAACAGTTCGAGCCTAGGCAGCTGGAAAATCTTTAACCTTTGAGAGTCTCTACTTTAAAATTCCCACGTCCCGCTTTGTCTGTTGTTTCTCCTTCTTTTTACCTTCTCACGCCCAGCCAATGATGTCTGCAGGTGGAAACAATCGGAGACGCCTACATGGTTGCATCCGGACTGCCGATTCCCAATGACGAACGACATGCAAGCGAGATTGCAATTATGGCATTAGACCTGTTGAGCCATTGTGGAACATTTACCATTAGCCACCTACCAAACGTGCCACTGAGGATCAGAATCGGACTGCATTCTGGTAGGCTGGGAATATCATCTACATTTGTTCAGTTTCTTATTATACATGATAAACAAGTTATTATTTATGTCCGTTAATGATCCAGATGGAGAATAGTGTATGTGTAAACAGAACAGGAACAAAGACAGACGTCTGAGAAAAGTAATTTGTCGAATCTGACCGTCTGCTATATCCTATTATTGATTTTTTTAGAATTCAAGAAATAAAAGAAGGAGAAACGATAATCGGGAGGGGTTTATTTTGGTTCTGAAGTTGCAGGTAGAGGTCGCAGCTAACGTAATCCAGAGCCTGGAGACTCCTATGCATAGTTCTTGTTGTATGGCACATGGGCAAATTGAAACATTGCCATGGAGGATCTACGCGACAGGCGAACTACTTATGCAACCTATGTACCCTATGAGGGGAATTGTGCACAATCTCTGAAGATCGGTAGTTGATATCACTGCTAGAAACGTCAGAACCAAAATAACCCATTCGCCTCTATTGTTCTTTATGCATTTAATGAAATATCTGCCGATTACCTTTAAACTACTTTTGATTAAAACTGTTTCAAGTGCCTCGTATTCGGATGATTCCCTTTAGTGTAACCATTTTATCCAAAATGTACTGTTTAAAGCCCTTGCATTTCCATGGAGTTGGGAAAATGAACTATGCTCCCATATAGTCAACAAATGACGACAGTGCTAGCTCTGGAATGTCACCTCCAACGTAATAAATACGCATGTAACGCTCAATACTTGGAAGTGTTTATTAACCGCCACCACTTTGCAGAAGGCCTTGATTCTTTTGCGAGGAAAGAAATGTACAAAAAGGATGTGGAATTGATGGCGAAATTTATGACGCTGCCACTCGCCCGACGCCAAATGACTGAGCCTGCTTTGGTGCATAATCTCTCATATAGCAGACTTACCAAGATTCAAGGAAATGCCCTGTAACGAATTCACTTTTATTCCGGCTGCAGCTTGCCCGTTCGTGGGCATTGCTACATTCGAGTTGGTGTTAGTAGAGTCGGCGTCAAAGACGATTCAACATAAATTCCTCTCGCAGTTCATGTCCCAGTGAATAAATAGAAAGATCTTAAGAGAGAAGTAAAAAGTGCTGAGGAAGCTAGAAGTTTAAATAGTCACACTGTTTGCCAAAAAACCCGATTTACTGACGTTCTTGTCAAAGCGATCCACCAAAACACAAGCCTAGTACTCGTGAAAGATCCATATTTCTAAAGAATTTGCGAAAATGTCACTTTTAAGTGAGTAGTCATGATGGTTACAAGAGTTCCGGCTTAACTAAATAAAAATAAAGTAACGTCCACATTTGTGCTCTCGCAAAACTGTCTAGACTAGATGTCTTCTTACGGCCCATCCTTTCGCACCAAGGACCCTCAACCCCCCAGTAGGTTTAAAAATTGGTTTTTCCAGACGCTAATATTGATGGCTGCAAGCTGAAAAAGACTGAACTTGAGCAAATAAATACGATCGAGCACTGTCCGAATGAGATGATGCCGTTATTTAATGTTACCTCGATCTTCACGTCCAAATCAAAGATCCCCTGTTTAAACACTTAGTGGCCAGCGGCGTCCAAGCTTCGATAACAATGGCGACTAGCCCATAATTCCATATTTTCCTAAGGCGCTCTCTACATTCGATAGACTAACATTCATATGAGCAAACCTACGGCACCCATATGGGTTCACCAATCTTCAGACCTATCGCAGAGGTGATTATATACAAGTATAGAAGACTGATTTTCGAGGAGTAAAAACCTGAAATTTTGGCATTATAGGTTAATGAAACATTCTTCTGCATTGACCAGGACAACAATAATAACCCTGAAGATCGCTTACTTAAATTAGAGCCCAAAATACACTTCACTTTAAAGGAGGAAATAGACGATAGACATTCCATATTCCCTGCCTCATCTATTTATAAACAGAAAGCCAGCCGGCAATACAGTCCATTGAAGACTGGCCAACACACTAAAAGCACTTAATGGCAACAAGAACACCAACAAAAACCATACGCTGCAACATAAAGGAAACCATATGCGCAAGCCGCCGTCCGCCAGAAAGTCATTTCAGCACGCCATTTGCGAAGGGAGACAAAAATAAGTGCCTGCAACGCCGACAAATATATTCGGACATTCGCTGAGAGGATTCGAAGGTTCCATCTTTAACTAGCAGAAGTCAAACCTTCCTTCTAGATGCGGGAAAAATGGTTGGTGGCTAGTAACACCAAAGTAGTAATGTCAGCTGGCCGTTCGCGAATATCGCGCAGCCGAAGTACACGTCCAACTTTAGCGCCATTATAGTTGAGGGCCGACATGCCAATGACATAATAAGGCATATAAAAGAAGTTTGAATGTCTACCTGCTACCCAGCCAACTATTACAAATATTACCCTGCCCTTAAGCTGGTTTTGGGAACTTATTGACGAGAGAGTGACGCACTGAAGTCGCCGGAGCCGGCTAATTTCACCGCGACTGAAACCTCTGTGGCATGCCAATCCATTCCACAGCCACAGCTTGCGTTGATAATCCACGTGAGGCAAAATACGCACGCGATACATACACCCTATCATGAAAGCTTTACACAGAATTATTCAGCCTCTGAATATAAGTCATCGAGGTCGCTACTACAAACGTCAGAACAAAATGCAAACTCTTCTGGGGTATACATTGCCTTCTTATGACATTGCCGACCAACACAACGAAGAATAGAATTCAGAAGAAGATGCGACCATTGGAACAAGAGTATTATTTGCCTGACGTTTCGGATTCCCTCGGGAATCCTTAAGCATAGGTGATGATGACATAGTCATGATCATGCGCAGTTCTGCCCCAAGACGTACTTCACCTTCAACGGAACTATCTATGAGCAGGTGAAAGGCACGTGCATGGGTTCGCCCATTTCCGGAATCATAGCAGAGGCGGTCCTGCAATGGTTGGAGTCGCGGGTTTTCCAACACCACAGACCGAAATTCTGGGCTCGGTATTTGGACGACATCTTCGTTGTAATTGAGCGGGATCAGGTGCTGACATTCAAGGATACCTTTGTCGTAATTGAGCGGGATCAGGTGCTGACATTCAAAGAGCGTCTAAACGCCGTCTTCCCGGATATTCCAATTTACGATGGAGGAAGAACAGAACAACCAGCTGGCCTTCCTGTATGTCCTCGTTTGCCGCAAAGACGGTGGTGCCCTAAAAACGAAAGTGTTCAGGAAAGCAACCAACACTATGCAAGTCCTGAAC